CATATTCAAGCAGAAATGTCAAAACAGAATTATTTCTGTACTACTGCCGACATTTGGTCTTGCAAAAATAGAAGCTTTTTGGGTGTAACAGTACATTGGATTGATGACAACTTAGAACGTCGATCAGCTGCTCTTTCGTGTAGCAGATTTAAAGGTTTGTGTATCGATAGTGCTCTCTAGTTGTATAATTCCTATTTTTTTAAGTGTCCACTCATTTACCCGGATTGCTGAAGCATTAGATGAAATTAATATTAAGTTTTACTTAAATTATAAGAATATTGTCAGCACAATTACTGACAATGGAAGTAATTTTGTCAAGGCGTTTAAGGAATTTGGCTATGTAACTCCGGAACTTGATGATATGGGTATATTGGTTAATTCCTGTTTTATGCAGTAGAATACAGAATGACCTAACATTTTAGATGATGGTGCTGAAGATGATGAAGTTCTCCAGTTCGAATATATATCCGAAGGCGATAGGAATGATCAGGATAATATTAATATAATTCTTCCTCGTCATCTTCGATGTGCTAGTCACACCTTAAACCTCATAGCAACTACCGACATGAAAAATATTTTACAGAAAAACACTATATTACGCAGCAGAAATATTCACGCCATTAATAAATGTTCTTTGTTGTGGAATAAGGCTAACAGGCCAAAATCAGCTGAAGTTATAAAAGGGGTGTTGGGACATGCGCTTTCAACACCTGGAGTTACACGATGGAATTCTTTGTATGACTCTATAACACAAATTTTGAAAGAAAAAGAAAAATTGCCGGTTTTGTTCAAAGAATTGGATTTAAATTCTAGTTTTAAGGATGCAGAATTAGCGTACTTAGAGCAATACGTCAACATCATGAAGCCATTAGCGCAAACAATAGATTTATTGCAGGTGTGTAATTTAACTTTAAAGGCATACCTTTAAAGTATGCCTTTACGATTTTGCCTTACAAGCGCTTACCTGACCGCATGGGCGCTTGGTCTACCCTCTCTTTTGTCATATGCTAATATATCTTTTGCCGATAGTACATTTCGGCGTTATAAGCAGATAGCAGATAAGCAGTATACATGAATTTTATGAATGATAAGTTTATGAAATTGCAATGTTTTTCATTTTTATATTAAAAATTTCATCGAAAGTGAATAAAAATATAATATGGCATGTGAATTATAGATTTAAATACGTTAAAGATTATAATTCACCCAAAGAAACGTTCTGATAACTTTTTAGTTATTCAGTAAATTTATTTTTGTTATTCAGTTATGATGTTTTAGGGGGAAGAGTGCTGTTTCTAT